ACCAAGGCAAATTGTTGTTAAAAGGGCCATACAGCAAGTACTTTCCAGAAATCCATGCATCTCCTTCAGTGTTGCTATCATGCTCCTGGTAGCCTCCTTGACTATTTTTCTTGTCTTATCAGGTTTTTCTTGGTAATGTTAATGTTTTGCCACATCATCTCCACTTGAAGATGGCAATCTTCACCATGTTCCCTGTTTGCTGTATTTCCATGGAAATTCTTTGGTAGCTCCCACTTGACTGATATATTTGAATAAGGAGATTAATATGATACTTTGGAATCATGGTTTATGCTGGAAGATGTGTCAATAATGTGAGTCCTTCTAGAACAGATGAACTTCATTCAAGGTTGTTCCAAGTCACTTTAATCAGTGACAGGTTTGTGCTGAATAAAAAATTAGCATGAGTTTGAGTCACATCCCCATTTATAAAAGGGTGCACACTTTCTTTTTTTATACCACCTCCCTGAGAGATTTAGGTTTGTTTATCACTTGCATTGTACAGGTAATAGGTCACATTAGTCGTGGAAAAAGTTATAAAATTATTTATCTTGATGTCCTTACTTTTACATGACAAAAACCTGGACTTTGATCAGGAATGTGTAGGCTTTTATATCCACTGTACTTCTGGTTGCTTAGTTTCTTTGTTAGGTTTTTAGATGTAGACTCTTTAACTTCTGCAACTAACCTTACACAACATAACAGCATAAAGGATCAGTTTAACTATAACTTTAACTGAGATAAATGTTTTTTAGCGCCATTATAAATGGATAGATGTGTCACCATGTTTGGATCTGATTACTATCCAAGCTGGTAGATTACTGCCTTCTGGGCTTTTTTGATGATTTTATTTAATCTGGTTTCTATTTTCACTCAGTAATAAATGTTATTTGATATGTAATTGAAATATTTTTATTAAATCTATTTAAATAAAAGCAGCGACAATGGAATCTATGCGGAATCAAACGAGATAAGGCCCCAATAGTTTCCTGACGTTCTTGTTGTGAATTTTAACATTTCATAATAATTTTGATAATAGATATTATTCAATTAGCTGAGTTTGTGCTTCATTTTCCCACAAAATGTAAGACTAACATTTTTCTTTGTTGACTAAATGAGTTTTAGAAATGTTAACACTGGGTTATATTCTTAAGAACATAAGATAAGAAAATTTATAACTTATACATTTCTATCTGTTGCTCTTTTATCTCTTTTAATGATGCAACTTCCATCCTTGACAGCTGCCCATATGGTCAGTTTGCCCAAAAGACTTAAAGCTGTTTTTACCCAGTATTGTGTCAGAGAATTGTATAATATGCTAACCATATTATTCACATGCTTATTTGTAGAAAAAAAATATTGAATATTTATGTATCACTTTCATTCCTCTGATAATCACAAAATGAATTGAGGTTTATGGCAAAACGTAAACAAGTAGCATTAAATTCTTGCAAGGCACACTTAAAAGACAAATAATGTGTAAATAGTGAAATGTGTTGCCTTGTCCAAATGAGGATTTTACGCTCAAAGGTTAAAAAAAAAAGGTTGGTATTGATATTTTCACTACATAATGTTTGTGCTTTCCTCTCTATGACAAAAAAAATACATAAAGAAAACCATCTGTAGCAATTTAAACACTTACTGCATGGTTCTGCGTATAGGGTAAGCAATGCTTTTGTATTTCACAATTATGAATACTGTCTGCTATTTTAATGCAGCCTCACATAAAGCAAGACCCACTGAGGTTGCTTCATATCAAAGGTAAAGATACCTCCTTCCACAATGTAAAATATGACTCCTTAAATGATGCAACAGTTTCTCAGCTCACAAACACCAATAAACACAGAAGTTGATGTTTTTACATATTGTTTACTCTTTTTAGACATGGCTTCACAGCATTATTTTTACCCAGATGCCAGGATGCCAGATGCCAGGATGTTTTGGTTCTCAGGGAGCAAAGGCAAAATGAGAACAAAGTATGTTTACCTAAAGGTTTTGGGTCAGAGGAGATCCAGCATATTATAGACGATCAGCGAGGAAAGAACACATCAGAGCATTGTCATTTATCACCAGAGCTCTAACAGCTCTGCAACCTAAATGGTTTAATGGTTCAATTATTCTGCAAAATCATCACCACATGTGTAAAAGTATGGCTACATTGATTCCAAGGCATTAGCTTTGCTGGAAAGAATGTTCTATATGCTTTAAGCGACTAAGCATACATATGTGAATTCATGCAATAAGTACTCTATCAAATACAGAGATGTACAAAAGTATAAATAAAAATATTTTTTCTGAAGCTGTTTCCAAATTAATTTACATGTAAACCACTTATAAAGGAAATTATCAGCATGAACTATTGTCTGAAATGGTTATTCATCCCCAGTCCTCATCAAAAAGTGGCTCCTGTTTAATCAGGAAAAGTGATAGATCTTGTTATCTCAATGAGGTTTGAGTCATCTAAGAAACAGATTCAAACTCGAATAAAAATTTTTTTTATCAATTCTCTTGATGAGGAAATATATTTTGTACAGTGTCAAAAACATCAGGTTTAAATCTTGTGAATAGTAAAAAAAAAAAAAAAAAAAACAGCTGCACTCCCTCAATAAATGATGAAACAGGGACCCCTGTTGGAGAAATCTTCAGAAACACACGAATAGATTTTGTCTTACTTTTCACTCGAAAATAAACACTGCTAAGAAAAATACAGCAGAGGAAAAAATGGCTTTAAACTGCACAATTTCAAAAAAGGTTGTCTTAAGGCTCACTGAGGATGAAATCATAATAATTCTGCTGTATTTGGGGTCAGTGACAATGACATCACAAGGAGCAGAAGAATCAAGGGAATCAATTTACATTAAAACAAACCATCATTTATTTCCCCTCCTAACATACAGCTGATATTTTGTATTTTGGTTTGCAGTGGCAGTATTACAGACTTAGAGCAAACAATTTTGAAGGATAAATTTAAATAAAAACATACAAATAGGGGAAACAACGTCAGCAAGAACAAACACTTAGTGAAAACAACTCAGTTTTACTGCCCTTTGTCTTGTAGGTTATTTGTGCATGAAGTTTGTTTTGCAGAGGTTTATTATATATTTCCATCTAAATAGAAAATAACTTGATAGCAAACTATATCTAAAGAAAGTTTGCTGAGAAGTAGTTTTAACACTGAATAATTTAACACAAGATTTAGTTTCCCTGCAACTTCATAAATGGTTAGCAGTCTATCTGTCATAAATCAGACGCTATATCGGTTCAGAAAGCAATGTAAACTGTTGTAATTTCCTATTTTCTCACTAGTTGGTACAGCGTTATCCTGTGCATTTCTGTGAAAATGTTTCCTAGCAATATATTGCAACACTTTAGCATTGTGTGTTATAACCAGAATTACCATGAAGGAGCAATCCCAAGGGATAAATAAAGTTGAGTCTAAGTGTCTAACCAATTCAACTTCAGTGTATTTTAATTGGATCGTTCATATGAGTACCGGATTTGTAGTAAATGAAATGTATGCTAAATAGATTTCAAACGACAATGTATGTTTTGGTTACATCCTGAAAACTCAGAATGGTGCTCAAATTTTCTTGTTTTATCAAGTTAACTACTACTCCAACCAGTAATATTCAATCATATTTTTTGTAGAAAAAAAATGGACACATGTGGTACAAAAGAGACCAAACAACCATTTTAAACATTGTTTTAATATATAAACTCATACATAGAAATATGATGGTTCATGAGGTGACACATGGGTGAACAGGGTCCAAGAGGATGCATCTCCAACCCTGCTCCTCAAGATCTACTGTCCGACAGATTTTAGATGCATCCCTGCTTCAACACAGCTGAATCAAATGATTGATTACCTTTTCAAGCCATTCATTTGATTCAGCTGTGTTGAAGCAGGGATGCATCTAAAATCTGTAGGACAGTAGATCTTGTGGACCAGGGTTGGAGACCACTACGATTAAAGAATGTGATTGGTAGATAAATAAAAACATTTTTATTCATTTTTGGGAAAAAAGTACATTTTTAATAACTTATTAAATATGAAACTATTATTGAAATATATAATTCATTATTTGAAGTCCTTGTACATTAAAATCATATATAATATTGACCTTTTAAAGATTATGAGTGTAAAACAGCACACTTGAAATAATTAGGAAAAACATCTTTATTATAAATATGCATATATTCAACAGATTTCATAAGGTGTTAAATAAATTATTGGCATACATGCATACATATGTGGATACTACGGAAGAGGATTAGGACCACTGAAAAATAAAAAAATTGTTAACTTATTTTTACATTTTATTTCAGTATAATATAAGAAAAAAGTCAGAATTCTAACTTTAACCTCAGAATTTTGGACCGAGGGGTCCCCAGTGATGCTGTTTCATCAATGGAAGAGCAGAAGGTGATTAAAACAAGAGAGCTAGTTTAGTCTCTAGACATGGCTATGGCTTGATGCTAACATGTTTGTTAGCTTTAATGTCAGAATTCTGAGAAAAAAACTCAGAATTCTGAAACTGAAGTCAGAATTCTGAGAAAAAAACACAATTCTTAAACTAAAGTCAGAATTCTGAGAAAAAAAGTCAGAATTCTGAGATTAAAGTCAGAACTCTGAGAAAAAAGTCAGAATTCTGAGATTAAAGTCAGAATTCTGAGATTAAAGTCAAAATTCTGACTTTTTTCCCACATTAAATTGTAATAAAATTTAAAAATCAGTTAATATTTTTATATATTTTTTCAGTGGCACTATGTAGAATACATATCTTTACTTATCTTCTTTTTTAATTAATTGATAACACATGTCTTAAACGTATTCGAATCCAACTGATTTTAATAAAAGGACTCATTCTAAAAGTGAATATAAATTATCTCAATTTGCATAGATTTTAATTGATTTATCCTAATCGAGCCAGTCGAATTGAACAGACAAACAGGAAGTTATTATTGTTTCAACCAATCACAGGGAGAGACAGGAGCTGGAAGGTGTTGCTTCCCAGCAGCATGTAGCCACGTTAGCCCTATCACTAACCTGGAGCTGTCCAGCGTTCACAACTCACCGGCGTACGTAAACAGGCAGTGAAGACCTGTTTTACTTTCTTTACTACGAGACAAAACCGCCTGTAAATTTGTGAAAACACCGATGGAAGTTATCAGTGGTGATGTGCAGTCTAATGGGCTACATTGACCACCAAGGAGCTACCTGGCAGCCCGGTCTATGAACTGACAGCTGTCACCTAGCTGCTTAGCTCGGAGGCTAGCTAGGTGAGCTAACGGCTAACAGGGGATTTTTTTCCAGTCTCAGCAAAGGCTAATTTAGGCTACTACTGTCGATTCAGACAGATAAACTATGACTTCTTTGGACAATTGGCTTGCCCCTGTTGGTCAAACTATGAGTTAGCTGAGAAACTACGGTTTGGTAGTATTTATAGCTAGTTCAGCTATTTTTTGGTTTGTATTTCTTTTTGGCTGCTTTCATTCAGTTATTTAAGCAGCTATTGCTGAAGAAAGGACACCGGGTTCCTCGGTGGACAGAGGGGCTGCAGCCTTCGTTTCGACACCGAAAATTTTTTTTGGACTTGGGCCTACTTTGGATAGCATCTTGGTGTAATGAAGAAATTTTTTGACTCTCGTCGGGACTTTGCGGGCTCTGGGCCTGGTTCTGGAGCCGGTGGAGGGGGTACTGGTTCCGGTGGCGGCGGGAGCTTCATTGGCCGAGTCTTCAGCATCGGAAGATATCAAGTGACTGTCGAGGAAATTGTTGCCGAAGGTGAACTACGAGTCACTTAGCTGCTGTTGATTAACTGAAATGCAAATTAAAGTATTAAAGCGAGACATATTCATATTATAAAGCTCATAAAGTCAAAGTCCTGTTTTTCCTTTTTTGTGAAATAGTCAAAAACAGAGTCAGCAACATTTGGTTGGGTAGACTAATTATTATTTAATGCTCATACCTTTTATTATTTTTATCTACTTGAGGACTGAGATAAACATGCCATATCTTAAAGTTCTATCTTTTCACTTTTTAAGGACTTTTTTAAGTGGAGGCTCCACCAAATTGACTTTTTAAGTGCTCTTTACTGATTTTTAGACTGTTTTATGTTTAGTTTTAGATACTTATTCATTTTGACAATGTGTTGAGGAAGGGATTTGTGGTTTTAACAAGTAAGAAACAAACTCAATCTCTTCAGTAGTCTTAACCATGACACAATTAGCCAAGCTTTGAAAGGTGTGCCATGTTTATGTGCTTGTCCTAGCAATGAGAATCCATCATGCTTTGTTAGCTAAGAGGACCTGTGACTAAATAATAAATGAAAAAAGTCTGATTAATTTATCAGTTCTCTCCTGTAGAAAGGCTCCATCTGTTTGGATGCAGTTTGGTCTCTTTAAACAATTTGTGTAAAATACAAATTTCTAGATTTTTTTTTCTTTTGTCACAGTATGGTATATTATTCCTTATTTGTTTTAGATCTTATAACCTCTGGGAACACATTTGCATCAGGTTATTACCTTTGTGTTCTCTAACTGCTCTTTATAACAGTAATAATGGTAATTTTTAATCTTACTGCAAGACATGTACGCTCAGTTTATCTCTGGGGCTGTTTTTGGCAGTTCTTTTACAGTCATGGTCTTATTTGTAAATGGTATAGTAATTAAAAGGCTATGTGATATATATTAATTGAAATCCTAGACTATAGTCAGAGGAATTCAATACTGTTAGTGCCAAAATATAATTAATAACTTCCTGATTTTTAATTGAAGTACTTTGAAACTGCATTTTTTTTTACCGTGCTTAAAAGTTGTTCAGTTTTATTGTGCTTTTTTTCACATTTGTTTTGATTTGCTGGAGCACCAGTGCAGGAGATTGGACAGTATTATCCTGACAAGCAGTGCAGTTACGTCAGGAGAGCGGCTATTTGTAGATGTACTTAGTTTAGTCACACAGTCTACTGTAAATATAGACCTTTGCTACATGTAGCTTAAGAAAGCTTTAGATACCTTCTAATTTCCAGCTTTTGTCTAACATTAGGCAGACAAGACATCAGTTATATTAACCCTAGACCCCCTCTGCAGCAATGCACACACACACATTCAAGACCTGAGTTGAATTTGGGGCTGCACAATATTTTGAAACCGTTCTGAGCCTATATTAATATCTCTATTTAGATTAATTAAATATTTCTTTGTCAAACAAGGTCAGTTTTTATAATTTTGAAATACTTTAACAGCTGTAGAAGTCTCCATTAAATGACCTAGAGTCTAACTTACCATAAGTAATAAAAAGCATAGAAAGGAACTTGACTAAAATGGAGAAAGTGAAATTGACCAATTGTTACCAATACAAAGCGGCCGAGTTAACAACCTTAGCATGCCCTTGCTCTCTTATTTTCTAGTCCTTCAATTTCTGTAACACTACAGATGGCAGAAATCTGGTTTCATGCTTTGCTAATCAGACAGGAGGCATCTGAGCACATGGAAGAACCTTTGGTTATGTTATGCCAGACAGATGACTCAAAGTTGGCATGGTTTCACTAACAGTTATATTAAAGTTACAGCAAATATATTGACTGTAGCATTAATTTGGATTTCCTATCTTATTTACATCCGAGCATAAACTGAGGGCTGAAACACTGTCCAAACCTTGTGCATAAATCACGCAGATCAGACTGAATATAATGACGACTTACAGATTAAGTTGATATTACAATATCACTGAAAAAACAAACCGTATCCTGGGAGGCCCTTCCTCATGACTTATATGACCTTATGCTGTTGACATAATGCACCAGCAGGGAGAGATCCAGTGAAGTCAATGCCTCCTCAGTGGATCAGGGACTAATTTTTGCAGCAAAAAAGATACTGTTAATAATGTTATGCCTTATAGTTGCATATTTACAGTTGTGAGACTTTATGATACTATTTAATCTGTATGTTTACATTTAGGCAGCAGTATATGTTTTTAACTTGCCTTGCAGTAGATGCTGGCATAATTTAGATAGATTCTGCTGGTGTTATTTTAAGTGTGTTTTTAATATTTACCTTTTCAAGTCCAAAGTTGTTACAGTCATGTTTTGTGTTTTAACCCCGATGTGTTTTTTTTCCTTTCTTTTTTATCCTTTGTAATCAAAGGTTGCATGAACTCTTGGTTTTTTCCTTTATCTTTAGCAACCACTTCTCTCACAGGCTTTTACAGTATGTCCTCTGAAATGTATATGGATAGCAGTGGAGAAGTCCATACCAGTGTGCAAGAAGGACTGTATTTGTGCGTTAACTTTTGTTTTTCCTCATCAGTTTAACCCTTTAGAGATTAAATGTACTGATTAGTTAAAAAAAGAAAGACTTAGCTTCTATGCTGATGTAATGCTTTATGGAGTTTTGTCTGCAAAATAATCTAGTTTTAAAAGAAGAGAAAACAAGCTCCAAAGCAAGAACTCCAGGTTATTGGACATTGGACAGCTTAATAAAGTAGGATCAGCTGGAGGAATGGCTGAAAAAGAGAAATAATTTTGAATCATGTTGCTCTGGACAGTCTGGTGCTCTGCAACGTGATGAATCGCCATATGTGGCTCATAGATAGAAATTAAACTTAATCCAGTGCATATGAAACAAGGGAAATATGAATACTGTTTCTTTTAGTACGCAAATGATCCTTTATTGTTGTGCGGTCACTTTCAAATTTCAAAGAATCTATTTAGTTTTTATTGTCATTCCTTTATTTATTTCGCAAATGTTTTTGGTGAGGCCACCAATACTTTGTTTTGGTTCCGCCTGTTGTTTCTAGCTGCAACTTTCATCAACAGCTGTTGGTTATAATTTGCCATTTTTCACACAGCTTGGGTTTCATTTTGTTTCCAGTTTATGATCAAATATTCCAATGATTCAGCTCTCTGTTTGCTAACTGAATTTGCATCATGACTGACATGAATACCAAAAATATACTATATTTGTATTATATGTAAATATAGTATATAATATGCTATATTTTAATCTTCCTCTTTTATTAATTTTTTTTGTAGGAGGTTTTGCAATTGTGTTTCTAGTGCGAACTCATCAAGGGCAGCGCTGTGCACTAAAGAGAATGTATGTCAACAATGAACATGATCTGCAAATCTGCAAGCTTGAGATACAAATCATGGTAAGTAAAAAGAAGTATTAGATATTAAGCTACTCACTGTATTTTGTCTATCAATATTTTCAAACAGGTTATAGTTGTTGCATATATCACATTTCAATTGCATTCTTGGTTGTAATTGGTCAGTGCAAAAAGTGCTAAGCTTATCTGCTTATTCATTACCAAACTTTGGAACCTTGACTGCCTGGGAAAATATGCAGTTCCTGCAGCAACACCCAGCGTGACTGTCAGTGGACGGATATCAGTATTATTTATAATCTTTGGCAAGATAAATTTCTACTAACAGTAAATGACCTATTTTAGTGTAAATTGTAAAACCTATTTAAAGCATGTCTGTCATTTCCTTTTATACTTTTTTTTTTGTCAACCACAGAGGGACTTAGTAGGCAACAAAAACATAGTTGGCTTCCTGGACTCAAGCATAGCTGCTGTGGGAGCCGGTGATGTGTGGGAAGTCTTAATCTTAATGGACTTCTGCCGAGGTAAAGCTACCCAACCCCATTGCTTTTGTTTAATTCGAAGCTTCGTGAGGAGCTCACAATATCCTGTCTTGTTTCTAAGAATCAAAAGAATCATTTGATCTCATTTTTTTCAATAGAATTTTTTTTAATGCTATGTTTAACTGTTTTTTTGTTTTTAAAGACAAATTTAGATATTTACATTTGGTTGATGCAGGATGGAGGAGTGAAATATAGATATGTTCATTTCTAATATTGTTCAACACAGATAAAAATATTTGGTATTTACTACTATGCCTGGAAGAAATGAGTGTAAAACGTTTCACCCTTCAAACAGAAACTTATTCCAGACCTCAAACAAAGTGAGAAATGCCAGCTGTTTTAGTGTGTTTACACATGGAGTGTGTCTATACACCTTTTATTGACCTCAATTTTTTTTCTAAGGTGGGCAGGTGGTAAACCAGATGAACCAGCGATTACAGACGGGCTTCAGTGAAGCTGAGGTGCTGAGGATCTTTTGTGACACGTGTGAGGCAGTTGCTCGGCTTCATCAGTGCAAACCTTCCATCATCCATCGAGATCTAAAGGCAAGCTTGGCTGATTTTACTTTTATGCTTTTAGCTTTTGCCACAGCCTGTTCATGGGGCATGGTAAATATTAGACATATTTTGTGATGTTCAACAATTTGAAAGAATTTCATTGTGTTTCTTTTCATTTAGGTGGAAAATATTCTTCTACATGATCAGGGGCACTATGTGCTCTGTGATTTTGGAAGCGCCACAAATTATTTTCAAAACCCACAGACTGAAGGCGTTGCAGTTGTAGAAGAGGAAATTAAAAAGTAGTGTTTTTCAAAGAGTTTAAATACTTTATGTCTGATTTTCTGGGTTTCTAAATCTTAATTTCTGTCTTTTTTGTTTTCCCTAGATACACAACCCTGTCATACCGCGCTCCTGAGATGGTTAACCTTTATGGGGGAAAAGTCATCACAACAAAAGCAGATATATGGGTAGGTATTTGCTTTTGTTTTTATTCATCTAGATGTCTGCAACATGGATAATTTAGTGGTCAATATAAAGGTAATTTGTCTATCTAACAATTAGGCATCTTCCTGACTGATAGTTTCCCAATTTCCTTCTTTATGTTGCGTTTACGATTGATTAAAAAATATTATATTTTCTAAGTGAGGTAGCATCTATGCCTCAAACAGAAATAAATATTACTTCTAATTTATAATCCACTCAAAGATTCAACACTAACCCCTTATCTGGTGTTTATTTTTACTTTTTTTTTTTAAGTATCATGATTTTTTTATGCTTTTAAAGACATCAAGTATTGATATTCTATGCATTATACTAACAGGGAAAAGTTTAAAGTTTCTGTAATTCACCAATCAGAGCAGATATAGGGGATTCGTCTGTTGCTGTTGCTTCTCTGATAAGATGTTTTGTTCTTGCAGGCTTTAGGCTGTCTTCTCTATAAGCTTTGCTTCTTTACCCTTCCTTTTGGTGAGAGCCAAGTGGCCATCTGTGACGGTAGCTTCACCATCCCAGACAATTCTCGTTACTCCCAGGAAATGCATTGCCTCATCAGTAAGTAACCTTGGGTCTCAAACCATCCATACGACTCCTGTAAATATGTTTGATATTTTATGTGCCTTACTTAAAATGAGCATCACATGTTTGTTGACATCTCAGGATACATGCTGGAACCTGACCCTGACAAGAGACCAGATATTTACCAAGTGTCCTACTTTGCCTTTAAACTTGCCCGACAGGAGTGTCCCGTACCAAATCTGCACGTAAGTTAGCATGATTGGAGAAATATGAGTTGAAAAATTGAGTTTTATACAGAAAGATGGTTTATTTATTAGATGATTTTCTTTTTTCTTTATTTTCCCAAGTAACTTTTTACATTGATTATTTACTAAGCTTATTCAGACGTATAAAATCACACCTATAATGTTAAACCTGTGTTTTCTGGTAGCTCTGTGATAATTTGATCTTCTGACCTTTCCAGAATTCACCTATTCCTTTAAAACTTCCGGAGCCTATACGAGCCAGTGAAGCAGTGGCCAAAAAGAGTCAAACCAAAGCTCGGTAAGTGGGAAACCAAGTACTAAACAATCGATATCATAAAGGTGGACCTTTTAGACCTGAGTTTTTTTTTTAATGACTCTTCCCTACTTAAATTCTCACTACAGTTGTTATTTTCTTGACATGGGTGTATTAAGCTGTTTATAATCCAAGCTTTTCTTAAGCTGTAGTGACACACAGCACACTTAGCTGTGTCTCTCACTTCACTTATTTTACTAATACTTTTATTTATTTAAGAAAGTACAAAGCTGTATAAAGTTATTTATGTAGAGATGCATCAGAGATCCACATTCTGATTAGATTTTTTTCTGCCCTCCTGATGCCAGTTTTAGTTGTGTTTTTATATATATATATACACAAATACACTTACTTTCTGGATGAGTTGGAAATGAAAATGTCTTCTTCTAACTGCTCCCTTTAAAGTGTCAAATCCCAAAAAATCTAAATAAACTCATAAGGGATTTCACTGTTACTCTGCAATGTTATTGTTATTGTTTTTCCCTCAGGCTAACAGACCCAGTTCCAACTACAGAAACCTCAATTGCACCTCGACAGCGACCCAAAGCTGGTCAGGCACAGTCACAGCCTATATCAGTCATTCTTCCCATCCAACCAGCTCTCACCCCACGCAAGAGGCCTAACGTGACCACAGGGACCCCACCAGCTTTTGGTACCGTTTGCTTTACTGTGTTGTTGGTTAGACTTCTATTTTTGGTAATTCGCTTAGATAAAGAGAGATATTCTATCGGATTTAAGGTATTTAGTAATATATTGACTTAGCAAGAGGGTATGTAGCCTTCAATATATCTGTATTTTTTTTTTATATTATCTATATATTACCAAATTCATTTCTGTTTATTACCCAATTAAATTTATGATGAATTATTAACCTATGTTTTGCTTAAACCAGCAATGCAATTTAGCCAAAAAGGAATTTTACAAACACCGGAGGTTTTACTTTTGGTGCCAGCAGCTTAGAAAAAGTTGGCCGTGCATTGAGTTTTGATTGGATGGCAAATTTATGCTGTTTTACAAGCTGTACATTCACTACTTTACATTATATCTGTATGTCTTATCTTTAGTGTCCTTCCAAAAGTAGATTAATTAAATATTGTGAGATCTGTACCGTTTTATGAGAAGCTGTGAACACACAGAAGGTCAAGTGGCTGTATGGAAAGTCAGTTTGGATTAATAATCCAGTTGCTTTTTTTTCTTCCCAGCGGCTGGTATCAATGCCCCAGCTGCAGCTGCTGTCCAACCTGCTCAACAGGCTCCAACTGTACAGGGTGCACCTCATCTAGTGCAGACAAGCAACAAGCATGTGCAGCCTACAACACATCAGCAACTCCTCATGAAGACACAGCAAGCCTCTCCCTTCCTAACAAGTCACGGTAACCAGCAGGTAGGGATCCTCCCTCAGCCACTATGGAAATGCAGTTTAGCCTGATTGATTATTCGTTCAGTTCACCTGCTGTTGCTTAATCATGTTTGCTGTCAGAGATACAGTGTGAGGCAAATTATGTTGAATTTGAAGCAGGGTTATAAAACTTGCAGGCAGGTCTATTAAAAATAACATAAAATGTAAATTAAAATCAAGGTCTATTTTTCATGTTAAACTATGAAGGTAAACGGTTACATTTTAAATGCATTATACATGACTTATTTATTGTATAACTGATAAATGAAGCTAATTAAAAAAATTATAAAATAAAAAAAACAGCAAAAATTGAAAGAAGATCCTTTGGATCACTATGGCAATTGCTTATATGAGAGAAAAAAGACCACGGGAGCGACTGGCATATATTTCTGATCCTATTGGTTGTGCGAACCGCAGCAGTGCGGCCCTCATTGTATCACAGACAATAGCTATGGTCATGCATTGTTTAACAACTGCTGTGGGTACCAAATCTGCTCTGGTGGTCACATTTTTATGACATCAACATATGGCTACTCCACTCGGACAGACTGTATTGCACCTGTTTCTTAAGGATCAAATCTCTCTTGGAGTCTCAACATTTTATTACCTATATTTGCCAATATTTTACTTTTCTTCTGCCATCTAAAGTAGCCGAAAATAGAAAATAATCATCAGTCTTCAAGGAAATTACTGCCTTCTAAGACAAACTGAGCTCTGCCATTTAACAAGGTGAAAAAAACAGTCTCAGCTTATTTTTAATTATTTTTATTAAGATTTGAGGGCAGAGGAGGACAAATGGGTCATCTTAAAAAAATGACTTTCATAGAGATTCTAGACTAAGAGAGCAAGTTATTCTTTTTGAAGAAAAAGAACGGTTGTTGTTGACACGAATTTAAAAATAGTGTAGCTTAATATGGCTAACTGACTCAGCTAAAAGAGGCTAACCTGTTAGTTACTGAGCACAGCTTGTCACAGTGCTACGCAGATATCCCCTTATATATCATGGTCTTGCATGATTTTTTTTTCACTTTTATCGATCAGGTAAAAACTTTATCAGTCATTAGACACGCTAACACTACAGATGCTCCCGATCTGCACACTGACGCTGCGTAATGTTATTATTGATGTCTGGACAACCACAGTGTTTTACATCATGTGGTATCGTTCATCTAATCATGTAGCGTGATGTCACTGGCATGCGCAGGGCCCGATCAGATCTGACCACCCGAGCAGATCTGGCACCTACACCGGCAGCTTCATGTACACCGTCAGGGATGCTGAGCGGTCTGCCGAGCTGTTTAATTATGTAGTTGAATTAATTATCCTTCCTGCATGGCCACTTGCCTGAATGACGTACAAAAGATTGTATTTATGCTATTGCAGGTGAATCAACACCTGGGTTTTTGTCAGATGTCATTTTCATTGTGAAACCACAATATTTTTATCTGTTCCCGTCCTCTTCGGTCCCGAGTGGGATGAGATTAATATGCAGTGCAGTGATTGGGATGCATGGTTGTGTTAAATGACACTCGTGTGTAACTTGCTCGTTTACATAGTCAGCAATCCCTTGCCATGCCATCTGGCGTCTTTTTTGTTTTGAATTTTCCTTTAGACTTTTATTTTTTTTTTTTTTCCTCTTGGTATTTCTGTAAGATGTTTGTTCCTCACAGGAGAAATGTGGTGGTTTCCCCTCTGTGCTCATGACTGTGATTAGTCTGTTACCTTTAACCCGCCCCTGTATAGGTGCACATTCACAGCTTAATGATCAATCAAAGCTGGATTGAGTTTGCAAGTTGATGACCAGCTTCATGATCCCGCTGCCATCGTTGTATCTTGTTTAAACTGGATAGGCTGGATTAATCTTGCTAGGTGGAATTTGCTTCTTGGTAGGGGCCTCTGTTGCAAGAATGAAAGCTGTTTACAAACGAATACCACTTGCACTAAAGTACTTCAAAAAGTAATGAAATATACTAGGGCTGCAACTAACGATTATTTTAAAAATCGATGAATCGGACGATTATTTTTTCGATTAATCGATGAATCGGACAAAAAATATTTTTATATTAACCTCTTTATTCCAAAATAAACATTATAGACAGAACAAACAAGCACACAAGTACAGGTTGCTCATTAACTGTACTGGTGCAATATGAAAAATAAATGTTTGTGTTAAAACTACGCAAACTTACATGAGAAATGTAGCTGTACATCCACAAAATATAGGCTACTTTGTTTCATAAAGCGCAAAAAAAGACATTTTTGTTTTAAAAGCCCCTAAGGGGTTCAAACAATAGGCCCCCCCATTTCAACAAATGAGTTTTATTTTAGACTAGAAGAGTTCTGCCTTTTAAGACAGGAAAGTATAGCAGTTAAAGTTGCTACTTGAGAAAATACTGAACCATAGAGATAAAAATAGCCCTGTGATTCAAATTATAAATTGTATTTGGAATAAAAATGAGAGAACTAGGGGTGCTAAAAAACACATCCTCCAAAGACAGATATTTACATGGGAATGTGGCATATAATTAATTGACATATTACTGATCTTGCTGGATTTTGTTCTGCTTTACTTCCATAAATTGCAGGATCTTCTTTTCTTTATCTTTGCCAGAAGATTTAAACTTTAAAAGCCTTGCCCTCATAATTTGAAAGTTAATTTATTTATAAAGAAAATATAAACGCTGCTTAAGCTAATTCAAATGAAATTAAAAGTAAAATAAGTAGCCAACCTTATCACTGTCTGTAACCTACTAACAAGGTAAGGAAAGGAAAGCATCAGATGAGCTACCTAAGAAACTAACGTTACGTTTCCCCACTTTAAAACCAAACAAACATGGTGGTTCCGTGCCATGTTAATTCCTTTTGAAAAAAGTTGCATGTTATCACTTTTTTAGCTTTACAACGTGCAGGCTATTTTAATTATTGTGATCAATTTGCGCCGTCAATCCCGGTGCATGCGCGCTTCATTTGCAGTCTGGACGCTGAGGCTCTGACTGAGAGGGACTCCTGCGGGAAAACGCGGTTGGGGTGGGGGAGGCGCCCCACGGCAGAGTAGGAACGATACATGCTTTCACGTAAGAGTCTCCAAAAGCCGCCAGTGACACCGAAAAAAGTCGCCAGATTTGTCGCTAGTCGCTTTTTTGAAAAATAGTCGCTGGAGGGGTCTGAAAAGTCGCTGAGTTGGCAACACTGCACCTGCGGCGCTGACTCGCTCTGCCGTATTTTTATTTCTTCCTCTTTCAGTCAAGAGGCAGTGATGACGGCGCGGCGGATGACGCAATAATCGCGCGACACAACTAATCGATGATGAAATTCGTTGCCAACGCTTTTAAAAGTCGATTTTTATCGATTTTATCGATTCGTTGTTGCAGCCCTAAAATATACAGTGGATCAAGTTTAGTAATTGACTCGATGTATAAACCAATGGAAATGAAAAATGGCCTCTTAATGATTCACCATATTAGTATGCCTTCCTTTATGAGAAACGGGTGGAGTTATTTCGTTTTTTTTGTTTTCTATTTTCTTCACTGTTACACAAGTGATGAACAGTAATGTGGCAGTAAGAATTTCTCATTATTGGCTGTGTGGTATTCCAATCAACCGCAGAACCTGCACCAACATCAAACACCCTCCCATCCATCTACTCTACTGCAGTCCAAAGCTAAACCTGTTCCCTCAGTTTCCACCATGCAACTCCAACAGCAACAAGTAGTCCATGAAACAGCAGCATCTCATCTTGCAGCCATCCCTGAGTCTGCAGTCCTTGCTCCAACAGATGTGGTAACATCTCGTTCCTCCTCCTGCTGCCTGCAGCTCTTTGGGTCTGGGCTGATCATTATTAGGTCATCTCTGATGAATCACATCCAGATTTGTTTTTCTTTTTTTCCTTCTCCTCTATGGCAGTGAACATACTGGAGCTGAGTGTCAATCAGAACGTTATATAGAAGCGTCTCCTATGCTTTTTTTTATTTTTTTAGGGTATTTTTCTCTCTTTTGATTGTCTGTAAATCATAAGTCTCTTTTCATTAAGTTCACTTTCAGTTAAAAATCTTCTTAATTTCATAATATTTTATTAAACTTCCACTTAATTTTGCAGATATATACCAATCATATCAATTTACAATTGCTTATTAGTTTATTCTGGTTGCTTTTTCTGAAGCCATCAGTGTATGAACAACTAAAGTGCATTGATTAAAATTTGGAGAGTGCAAACACTAATAAAGACTTGTTTATTACTCTAAGAAAAAAAAAAATGTATCCTCAAGTGCAACTTTTTTCTCTCAGTTTGTAATTCTTTGATTAACTGAAAGTAAACAACCTTTATTTCCAGAAATAATCTTTTTTCACAGCTTGGTTTCTTTAACTTGACTTCTTTACTGACTTCATTTTATACCTGGGGTTACATTCAGTTTTGCTTTTTCATTTTTGTTTTTTTGCTTTTTTTTTTATATCTTGCCCTCTGTATCATTTGTATCTCATCCCAGCCTTCAGGCAGAGATATCCACAAAGCAGGCTCTTTGACACCCCCTTCATCACCAAAGATTGCCCCTAAAAGTGGCCACAGACGGATCCTGAGCGACGTCACCCACAGTGCCATCTTTGGGGTCCCAGTTAGCAAATCTACCCAGCTGCTTCAGGCAGCCGCAGCTGAGGCCAGCCTCAACAAGTCCAAGTAAGCAGAATTAACTCCTTTCAGCTATTTGAGAATAAAGAGTCCTTTTCATAAGGTGGAGGGAGTCTGGAAAGCCAATGGGAGTTTATTCATATGCCAGAATCCAATAGGAAGATAAAGGTCTGCTTTATATCAAGAGGAATTGAGCTTTAGAAGCACAAGTCATTAAACAAAGCGAGGGGCATACATAGGCAGGCCAGCACACTCACACATGCAGACTTTGCACCTTCTATTCAGTTTCCCTTTGCTTATTTAGCCTCATGTATTGAAACATGTTTGTATTACAGATCAGCCAGCACCACTCCTTCAGGCTCCCCCTGTTCGTCCCAGCAGAATGTGTATCATCCAGGTGCTCCTGACGCTGCACCAAATCCTCAGCCCGGCTGGAACCCCTTTGGAGATGATAATTTCTCCAAGCTAACTGCGGAGGAGCTACTCAACAAAGACTTTGCAAAGCTATCAGAGTGTAAGTTTTGTAATACGGCATTTTAAAATCCTAGCTGGCTGATTTAGGTTTTTAATGTCTAACGTTGTATTATTTCTGCACAGCTGCTCAGCCAGGAGAAATAGACCTCACTTCCAGTGATGGTCTCATTCCAGAGCTTGGTGCTTTTCCAGGTAACACTCCATTCTTTTCTGTTATTCACTTCCTAAATGTGTTGCCTGATATTTCCAGGGGTGGAGCTGTTTTGCTCCCTTGTATGCTCTGTTGTCGTTTTCGTAAATTTGATAAATTGTCCTATTTTTGTAGTGTATTTCATTTATTGATTTTCCAGGATATTTTTTCAATGAAAGCTTGAGTTCTTCCTAGTTTCTCTCTCTCTAAATGCACACCAAAAATGTGTCAATTCTTTTATTTTCTTTCTCTCTTTTGTAGAAAATGATTGAGTGATTGAACCTTAAAATAGAATAGAAAATCCTTAATGGTTCTACAATGGGAAATTTAACGTGCAACAGAAGCTGCATAATAATAAAAGGGTCACAGCAGTAGAGACAATAAAAAAATTATTGAGAAATTAAAAGAACAAAGTGAAAAAAAGGTTAAACTTTAAAATACAATGCAGATAGCATTGCTTAATAGCAAAAAAAGTCTGCATAATAGGAGATGCGAAGTGTGCATAACAGCAAAAAGAAGCTCTGAATATGAACTTTGTGCATGTAACTTAAAGAGGAGATGAATTCATGAATAAGCCTTTATCATAAAATGCATCATGTTTATGATATTCTGGGAATTAACCAAGAAGGGTAAACAAAAGTAGTTTTCATTCATGAGGCATTCGATACCTTTTAAATCTTTGCTTATCACCAGTTGGATTAGAAAGAGTCACGCTTAGAGGAGTTGATGTCCCTCTTTATTCATGGCAAGTCGTAATGTTCATTACAGTAACTGGATCTCAGTCAGGGAAGATGACATCCAAACCCGATACTTCCTGCAGATTTTCCTTTCTAATTTTTCTTGTGAAGAAATGGCTTCCCTGCTGTCCTGCTTGATAACAGGCCGGCATCTAAACTGATCCCACCTCCTTGTTGCCATTACTTGACAAACTGATGGAAAAACGGTTTCTCAGATGGATTATTTTCAAATCTTCCTGGAACTTGCTTAACTTTATTTGGTGTTCTAAATCTTAACTTTGAGAAATCAAATCTCTCCTCTAAGTTCTTCATATTCTTCAATGGTTGATTTGAGTTGGCTTACAAGCAGTAGCATGCCTGTGAAATCCTTTCATGCAAAGCGATGATACCAAACTCTTTCATGACTCCAGGTACTATTCCCTTTTAAGGCAATTATTCTGCTCTTCAATTTCATTCAGCATCAAATAGTTATATTAGATGCTCTGTTTGCATTAACTAATCTCCATTGAGCTAATGATAAAATTACTGAAATGGGCTAAGACACGTAACAAATATATTTTTTTTATTATTTTAATTTCTTTCTTCTTTTTTTTTTAAAAAAAAGGTTAAAGCTATTTTTTATCTAGATGAAAATTTATCCAATAAAAAGAAAAGCAGTCAGGTTGGTCAGAATCAAGATTTCTGACCTTCTTAAAACTTAAATGGCACACACCCCAAACCCTTCCTACCTCAGCAGGGTTCCTGAATATCACTACACACGTTATTTTACAAGAAAGACATTTGTAGCTTGGACTTTGTGCCACCGTGTTGACATAGCAGTAGCCTCACAGTGGCTTCTTGTCCATGTCCATGAATAGACACTCTAAGATATGGGCTAGATGGCATCTCACATGCTGATCGGTCCTTTCAGTGTTGCGTGGCAACACGCAGGACAAATTCCCTTTTGTTAATTGGATTTATTTACTGCTGGAGGAAGGCTTACTGGAGCCAAGTAGAACGGAGTGAAAGTTAAATACTGTCATGTTGAAATGAAAATCCTGCTATTTTAATTCTCTATAGATTAGCCTTTGGTGTACTAATCATTTCTGAATGCTCGCACTACTTTAAGTGTTATTTAATGCATACATTAAGACTAAACAGATTCTTCTTGTAATGAAAGAAAGATATTTTAATTCTTCACACTCTTCACAGCTTATCTCTTCAAGTCAAATTCTAACCGCTATTCTTGAGTTTCCCGATGAGGAAGAAGTTGACAAATCTAAACGTATCCATTTGGCCTTTTTTCCCTCATAGTGAGGGCAGGAAAGGGTCACATCTGCTGTGTCATTTCCTAGCACTTTACTTGTAAGTATGAGCAGCAGCTACCGACCGGTTGTTTTAAGCATGGATTGCACTCTTCAGTGTGTGTGTTGTTATGATGTTCACAGATATTTTGAAAAATCTATCTGATTTGTAGGCCATCTTAACAGAGGTTTCCTGAAATAAGGAGTTTTTACTATTATTTCATTTGTATATTTATAAAGGAACCCGCTCAAACATCTTCTTACAAAGATCTTATATTCTTGGGGTAAAGGTCACTACTACTAACTGGTTATGGAATGTGTGAAAGTGTTGGGTTGAACTAAATCAACTAATGCTATGTTTACACTACCCGCGCCTTCAGCAGCACCACGTTTACATGCAAAGTCTATGGTTGATGTGCATCAAGGCACATCAAAAGGTCCTGCAGCACGTCTAGAGCAGCTGAAGCAACACCTCCTGAGCCTCTAAGTAGTGCTTCACAAGCAGCAGATGCTCAAAAAATAAAAATTTTGCTGCTCGATGCACCACATCAACCAATCAGAGAAGCTGATCTGGGCGATGACAGGGAGACAGACACAGCACTGCTGATGCAAATCGTTTCGATCGCTCCCCTAAAACCGTTTATTAATGCACAAATTAAGTTAAAATGTCGAAGCCTGTCTGCACAATATGTTTGCTTTTATTATCGTGGTGCTTGCAGTTTGTACCACATACCTGAAAAACGCTAAGATCTACTTCCAGCCGCCACGAATAGTAGAAGATAATCCCCCAAGAGGAAACCGGGCCTGAGGGAGCTGCTGCTTAAATCACAATGATGGCGCACCGCTGGTATGTGGGGGTCTGACCGACTCAGACAGCGAGATAATATTTTAAGGCAGGATCGTAATCTTGATGAACTGACTGCAGACAATATTTTTAGTTGGACTTTCTCACTTAAAAATATATGAACACTACTTTTTACCAGCTTTTACAGCAGATATAGCAAAGCCACCCTCTGTCATTGAACATAAGAGAAGCACAAGCACAGGCACACTTTACTGGATGAGCTTCAGGAGCGTCAAAGACACTCTTGACACGTGTGAGACCTCAATGTGGAAAAGCTTTAGAAATGAAGCAGGAAACAATTTTTTTGCTGCTGAGATCACGTGCGGTGTGAAGGTAGCATTAAGCACTTATTGGTAAATGACCAGTACTTATATATGTTTACCAAAGCATTTTACAATACATTCACCAACATTTGCATCTATCGTTAGTAAGTTCAAATATTTATTTTCTTTCAATCCAATGCTTTTATTTAAGTCCAGAAAAAAAAAAACTATCCGCAGCCTGCACATGTAGTTTTTGGTTTAAACTCCACTGGATCCACTTTGTTTTTCCTCCCTGAATGATACGTTCTGCTCTAGATTGATGAGGAGCAGGAGCTGCAAGCAGAACACTTTGCACCAACTTCAATGTCCTCTCATGTAATTATAAAACAGAATAAATAGAATAGCTTTTTTAATTTGGAGCAAAGAATCAAGCTGCTGACCGGGCACAATACAAGTCAGCAAACTTGCTGCATTTAAATGTTGTGCATATGCACCCTTTTTAGATGACACCCCTGTATTTGGAAGACGTCAACTTGCTATGAATTTAGAACTGATTCTGACCCTGAAATCCCACATCCGCCATCACCGTCCCGCTGCGCTCCAGACCGCGTGCGCAAAGCAAAGCCTACAGCCTCCGATGTTCCTCCCGTCTTGCTGCGCTCCGACTTTGAGGAGAGCATGCGCAATATTATTGATAACAATTCAAAGGAGCAAAACATCTGGAAATGAACGTTTAATTTAATATGATACATTAAAAAAAATCCCCATCAGCATCAAGCATATGTTCAGTTTCTGCCCTAATATTTTCTTTTTGTTGTTGTTGATTTTTCTCACAGGGATAACTAGGATCATACAAAATTGTTTTTTATGAACTGTTTGTTCTATACTTCCAAACTCAGCATCTCTTCATCCAGGCCTGTGAGAAGAAGTTTCTGTTGACTGGATGTGATTAAACTTTAAGACTCTCGATATAAAATAAATATTTTGATCGAGATGAGAAATCTGCTTCCTGGTATGTTGAATTACCAATGGTTTGCATCCAATCATTTATTTAAACGACCTTAGTTTTTGGAAATTTCAAGGAATTGTGCTCTAAGTTGTAGTTACCAATCCATTGTTACTATATTTTAATTTGACAAACCAGATCTTCTCGCCGTTCTTTTTCCTGTTTGGTGCGATTGCAATTGCGATCTTGACCTGGCCGGAGTGGAGCAAAAATAAAATGGACGGTGATGTTCGGAGGAGTAGCGTTGAATGTGGAACAGCTCTCATTCATTAACATAACAGACAAGTATTCTGTACATGAGCAGAACAGAGCGCTGATGGAGTATGTGGAATCTGGGGGTGAGGGTCTCTGGAAGAGGAATAAAACGTAGTGTTGATTTTATGTACACATGTTGATTTTATGTACACATGTTGATTTTATGTACACATGTTGATTTATGTTTCTTTTTCTAACTTCGCTCGGTGTTTCACTATGGGAATCGCCTTGGCGTGACCAACTACGGAAGCTCCAATGACATCACGTCTGTCTGAGACAGACAAGTTGAGCCGTGTCCGTGGCTCCACCCACCAGCTAGATCACGGCCAACCTACCCGCCTCAACTCATTCTCGCTTTCTTCCCGTGTGAAGACTACAACTAAGCTCCCTCAGCGTGCTCAGGCTAGCTTCGACCTGTTTAACTGTTCTCAGGCGTTCCGTAAAGGAAAACGTCGCTGAACGCAGGACCAGGACAGGCCTGTACCGTGCTGAGTAAGCGCTTCGGCAGAAGCACTTTCTGGAACACAAACGCTGGGAGCGGTGACCGCGTAAAGGCGAGCTGTCCCTGTATCTACTCCGTTTTAATTAACGGAATAGAGTGCGCTTGTGTCAGC